CCCAGGCGGCGGGGAACCACAAGCATCATTTCACCAAAAAAAAAAAAAAAAAAAGTCATTTCTTTTTGCACTAAGCAAGCTGCAGCATTTAGCCAAAAAGCTGAAAAGCACAAGCCCTGCTGCTGCTCTCCCGAGTGGGTGCCTCGCCGGCACCAGCAGCAGCTCGGCCGAGCACGAGAGGGGTCTGGGATTCACAGCCTGGTGCCACCGTTGCCTGCGGAGGACGGAATAGACAACCAGCATCAGACTTGATCATAATCCCGTAATAGCCTGCTGGCTGGGGCAGACGGCTGCTTGGAGGGCCGAGCACCCAGCTATTACTAAATCACAACTCCAGTAATTGATCCCTTCGGGCCGGACCTCCTCCCCGGCTGCAGGTGGGAGAAGGGCAGCTCAGGGGAGAGCTCCGACACTCAACGCACCAACGGGAAACTCCCTGAACACCAGCACAGAGGGGATTTAACACACTTGGATTTATTCCATCAATCATTCAACGCTTCAGATGGGACCCCAGGGCACCCGCCCCCCCAGCTGCTCCGCTATCGGCAGCCACACTCATCCACCACCATGTCCTCGTAGTGCCTCAGCACCACGTTGTCGTTGTTATCGTAGTAGAGGATGGAGATCGGGGACAGCCTGACGGGGACGCAGCAGGGCTGGGGGGTCCCCTCCGGGTCCAGCGAGTGCACCATGGTTTGGAGGATGGCATGGTTGGTGCTGTTCAGCTCCGCTGTCAGGGGAAAGGGGCACTCACCCAGGCAGTAATTAGCCATGTAGCCCTGTGGGGCGATGATCCAGTTCTCCCAGCCAACGTCGCTGAAGCTGATGTAAAGCCGCCTGGGCTTGCAGAGGTTGCTCGGGGTGACGGGGGTGTAGTGAGCACTCCTCCTCCTCCTGGAAGCCTTGCACTGCTGCTGGCTGAGGGTCACCACCAGGAGAGAGGTGTCCAGGAAGGAGTCGATGCTGGCGCAGAGGCTCTGCAGCCCCCCCCTCGCCAGGGCTGAGGCACCATCGCCGCTGCTCACCGAGATCTCCAGGATCAAGCCCA